GTAATGCAGACTATTTCAGATCAGTTTCTGTCTCTTCAGTTAGGACTCCTTTCCCTTTCTTTCTCTTCAGCTTTTTCTTCAGAATCTTGATTTCCTTTCTTTGTTGTCTAACTCCAGAGATTTCATTTGCAATTTAATTTTTTCTAACTAAGTGCTTGACTAACTCCGTTACAATCTCAGCTTTCTTATTATCCCTAGTTAAACCCAGTTTTAGTCTGTCTACTTATTCTAAAAATGTCACTTTTTCTGAACTTTATTGGTAAATTTGGGAAACATCTTCGACTCACCAAACCCCTTTAGCAATGTTAAGAGCCATTTCCCCACTTTGATTGGGAAGCAACTGAAATTAAAAATCTTAAAAATCTAGGACACTCGTCCTAAAGTCTGTGTAAATCTGCTGGGACATTTCGTACCCTAATTCGGTTCAAATCTGTTCAGATCCTGGACATGAGCCCCCAATCTGTTATAAAATGGAGTTGACACCACCACCAAGCCCCACCCCCCAACCCCCAGCTCCGGAACTAAGACTGAAACACCCAAACAGGAGCATGTTGCCCTACAATCTGTAAAAGGAGTGTGAAATGTGGTGTAACCTGCCTTTCAGCAACTTCTTGTGGTTTAAAAAAAATCCCTGACACTCACTTTACAATCAACAAGTAACAACTTATTTATCTAACTCCAGCAGTGAACAAATTACTTAAACTATTAACAAATCGAATAAACCCTTCCTATCTATTAACCATTCCTGAATAAAGCAAGATTCTAATGGTATGCTCTTCCAATAAAGAAGAGTCCCAGTTATATGAAATAAGAAAAAAGAATTAAATCTCTTGAAATTACAGCCAGGTGACGTGACCTCTGGAAGGTTCTGTGCCTTCTCCATCAATTCTTCTGTTAGGAAGCCTTCTCTGTCAATTCTTCTGTCAGGAATATTATCTAGAGATAATAGGAACTGCTGATGCTGGAGTCTGAGATAACAAGGTATGGAGCTGGACGGACCTGAAATGTCAGCTTTCTTGCTCCTCTGATGCTGCCTGGCCTGCTGTCTTCATCTAGCTCCACACCTTGTTATCTAGGAATATTATCTAGTTGTGCTATGACTGCCTTTTTTTATTTAGATGGTGTTTCCTCTAAGATATAGAGGATGCTGTGAGAGCCAGCGATTCTCTCAAAGCTGAGGGCTGTTAAGTTCTTGCAGATGGCAGTTAGCGCTGGGGTTTTGTCCAACTACCCCTATCTTTTATACCTTTGATGACATGTCAATATTTCTTACAGTAGGATTCGTCCTATGTTGTCAAAACCATCAGATTTACACTTAGGTTTTTGGTATCTATGTGTCTAGTTCAAATTGATCGGCTAAATTCAAAACTTGTTGTCTTCGTAAAAACTGCTGCTTGGTCTGCTAACTGTATGGCTTTTTGATACAAATGTTTCGGTTAGGGTGCACTGCATGTACTTCCAAACTTCCAAGCTGCTGCTCACTGACATCCATTTTAAATCTCTATGCACAGGATAAACACAGCATCTTTTAAAGGGACCATGCAATGCTCCTCTGCCTCCCCAGCATTTTACAAACACCAAATTCTAACGTCCTGCCTCCCAATCTACAAGAACTCTACCTAACTTTGCAGCACACCTAAAATGTTCTTTGCAGTAATTTAATGAAAAAGATATATAGCTTGTAAATATGATCTGTGATGAGAGCAGTGATCGACATGAAGAGAATATTAGCTAGTGGAATGGGGAGAAAAACGGCAAATTAAATTTAATGCAGAGAAGTGTCAAGTTATGGTGAGAAGAATATGGCGCAATTCTAAAAGTGGTTTCTAACAAAGACTTTGGCCATATGTGAGTAGAAATCATTGACGGTTGCAAGTCAGGTTATAAAAGGCATTAAGAAAGCACGTGAGATCCTCGGCTTTATAAATCAAAGCATAAAATACAAAAGAGAGTCCATCATGATGAACCTTTATAAAACTCTTTTAGCTTTACTGGAGTATTGTTTCCAGTTCTGGGCATCATGCTTAAAGAAGGGATATGAGGATATGAAGGGTGTAGAAATAATTTAGGAGAGTGGTTCCATGGGTGAGTTTCTTCTGTTACAAGAATACATTAGAAAAGAATAGAGTTCTACTCCTTAGAGAAGAGAAGGTTGAAAGAAGATTTGATAGTACAGTTCAAAATCAAATATCATCCATATGGCTGACAGAAAGAAATGGTTCCCATTGTTGGGAGGATTGAGAGCCAGATGACATTGATTCATGGTATTGATAAAAGAGTAAACAGCAGCAGGAGGATTTTTTTGTAAACAGTGATTGGTTAGAATGTTGAGTGTGCTACCTGGGACTGTGCTGGAGCCAGATTCAATTATGGCTTATCATAGGCAGCTTGATAGCATCTGAAGAACCTGTTCTCAGGGCTGTGGGAAAAAGACAGGTGTGTGGGACTGGCTCAGTTGTACTTGCGGAGAGCTAACATGACCATGAGAGGCTGAATGGCCTCCTTATGTAACAGCTGTAACAGTTCTGTGGTACATGCTAATGATTGTTGGTGCAACTTACAACTGAGTTCTAGTTTTGCCTACAACTTTCGAACACGCAGGAGTATGTTTGCACTGATATTTAAAATAAGACAAGAGATTGCTTAATTATTACTGAGAAGCCGTCAGTTGGAATAATTTGCAATCACATATAATACTGTAATTCTACATTGTGGGAAAGCTTGGGGAATTTACAGAAAATTGATTTAGCAAATATTTGTGTTTTTGAAAGCTGTACAGGAACCAACTCATCTTCACAGAAATGTAATGAGTTGGCACAGAGTTGCAGAACATGTGTAAATGCAGTGCATTGCTTAAAAATGACTCATTCTCCGCCAGTTACAATAATTTGAGAGTATAACTAACTGTGACTTTAAGATTGCCTTGACATGCCTGGTACTCATATACACAGTGCCTTTACAATTCCTAACACAAATGGTATACTTAACCCTAGTATTTAAGTGTAATATGACTAACCTCTATCTTATGCTGTGAGTACTTTTTAAAGTAAATACCTGGTCAGACAGACAGGAGGGTATTGCAGATCCCACTCAAGCCTAATACTATGCTTTTAAATGTTAGTAGTAATCTGTTTTTTTTTTACAAGTTGCACTTTTACAGATTAATCTTTTGCACCTGAACTGATGAAATTTGTTATTTTGCTCTCGCGCATCTAGAACATAATATCAAATGTTTCCTTAAACAGAACATAATCTGTATTTTCATTGCTTTGAACAGATTTTCAGGGAAAGATAAAAGCTAGCCTGGAAACAGGAGTCTGTGGAAAGCATTAGTCCTTAGAATTTTGGTAGTCAATAGACAGGAGTGTCTTTGTTACATTGCAACTCATAGGCCACAAATGTTGAGGTAGGATACTGAGGAAATTGGCTTAGGAGGACATGAGATCATTGGATTTCATTTCTCATTTATTGTTCCTTTATTCATTAACGGGATGAGGGCGTCACTGGCCAGACAGCATTTATTGTCCATCCCTAATTGCTAGAAGGCAGTTCAGAGTCAACCACATTGCATGTAGGCCAGATCAGGTAAGGATGGCAGTTTTCTTCCCTACGGGACAGTAGTTAACCAGTTGGATTTTTCCAGCAATCAGCGATGGATTCATAGTCATCATTAGATTCCTAATTCCAGATATTTTATTGACTTCAAATTCCACCATCTGCTGTGGTGGGATTCGAACCTGGCTCCCCAGAATGTTTTATGTGGGTTTCTGGATTAACAGTCCAGCGATTTAATACCACTGGACCATTGCCTGTCCTACTATTGTTAGTACCATTTAAATTAAGTGAACAAATTTTGTTAGATGATCAGTTTCTTTTTGTGGGGACAGATGTGGAATTTTTAAGGGTTTTTAATTAGTGGGAAATTCTTCAGTTTTAAGATGAGTTATGAAAACATCTATTTATTTATCAAAAAAGTAGAAAGTGCTGACAAACTGATAGTGCATAGCATTTTACCAGTGCATTAGTATTACGTTGGATAGTTCATTTCTTAATGAAAATGGCATCTTTTTATGATAATCTTGCATGTTAGTCATCAAGCCTAGTGTAAGATTTGTGTTAACTCCGGTAGTATTAAGTCATGCGATTGAATTTTTTTAATTCAAATAATATAAACCCTTTTTGTTTCTTCTCCAAATCTGAAATCATGAATTTGTGATGGTGCTCAAATTGACTCTAAACCTTCACAGACTTTAGTGTTTTTGCATCATGTCTGTATAAGTAGGTTAGTCCTTTGATGGTAAGATTACAAAAGCCAGCCACAAACAAACCTCAAATCTTACTCTTCCTCTGCTGAATTTGCTAGTGAATAAAATTCAGGAAACAGCAGAATCATCAAATTCTGACAGTAGGTACTGACATAAGGCTGGATTTTGGGGATGCAAACAAAAATTAATGTTTCTCGAATGTAAGAGTAATCTGCTTGTTTAGTACAGGACAATGTAAAGCGTATTTGGAAATTGAAGAAATCGTTTAAGATGATCTTCTTTTGAACTTCAAGATAACATATTCTTGCTTTGTTTTGTTTCACAAATATTGTATGTATTCTTAGAATATAGTATTTTCATGAGAGTGGGGCAAATGCAGAAACTTTATTCCTTTGCCAAAAGCTTAAACCGGCATGCAAGATTGTTTTATAAAATGTTTCTTTGTCTGCCAAATGAGAAGCATGTGCGTTAGTTCCTTCATAATGAAATAATACACATTTAGACACAATGTACATCATTTGATCTTGTATGTTTGTCAATAAACAAAAGGTTTACTAGGCACTTTATAATGATGGTGCACCTTTAAAGGATTTCTCTTCAGAAAGAGGTTGCCTTGGGCTAAATGTCTCCTGTTAATTTTGATTCTTAATGAATCCTTGATTAAGCAAGATGAGTACTGAAATATCTCACATTTAACATTAAGTAAATCTGACTACATTACTGTTACTTTATCAGGATACATCCAAAACCCTAGAGGTACTTCTGCTGGAGAAGAACCGCTCATTGCAGTCTGAAAATGCAACTCTGCGTATCACCAACAGTGATCTTAGTGGTAGGTCTTTGTGTTTGCAGCTCATATTGCTGTGCTTGGGGAGTGTGAGAAACTGACATCAAAGCCTGCACTAGTGCATGGCATCAAGATTAATGTATGTTACTCCCTTCTAAAGTACTAAATTGTGTTTGTGTACTTGTACAGACTGGGTAATAGGAAGAAGCTTTCAGACCTTGGAGACAATGTTTTATAAAAAGACCAGATTTTGACTGAGTTTTTATCTTGATGCATTTGGGTATAAAAGCTGTTTTTTTTTCCCCCTCATTGGTTTATGTCTGAGTATATATTCAATAGTGATTACAGTATTTAATTAAATGTAATTAGTGTCATTTTGTAGTGCTGCAATTATCTCTCCGGGTAGGGTTTTATATCTGTTAAACTAACACATTGCCTGACGGTGGCACTTACAATGTAAATGTTTGGTATGGGCTGCTTAAATGCTTGTCAGGGATTCTCCAGGCTGCCACTTACAAGAAAGGTACAAACAACAAATGCATGACATCTGTCTTTGGGGGCTAGTCTGGCATACTCAAATTTGACCAGTTGCATCAGCTGAAAGCCCTTTTTTAACCTGCAATTTTGGGCTAAAGTTTGCTATTTTTCATGGTTTTACTTTTCACTCCCCCATAATGCATTGTGTTTGGCCTTTCTTGTAGGGTCAGCTGGGAGAAATGGGAAAGACCGACCTGAGAGTCTGCGTCCTTCGACCTCACCATCTTCCCCTCCCTCTAAGTTGCTGCGCAACGCGAATGAGCAGGCTTCCAGTGCTAATGGTACGCACCAATTCTCACCGACGGTTTTAGGTCAAGATTTTTTCAACTCATCATTGACAAGCTCCCCGTTCCCCCTGGCCTCTGCAGGGAAATTTGCACTAAACTCACTTCTTCAGCGGCAGCTAATGCAGTCCTTCTACACCAAGGCAATGCAGGATGCAGGAAGCACAACCATGCTTTTTCCAACAGGTCCCTACAGCACAAATTCCATATCATCCCCAAGCCCCATCCAGCAGAGTTCTGACTTAAACGGAATGATCCCTTCACCCAGCCAGTCGGAGAGTGCTGGAAGCATATCTGAGGGCGAAGAGCTGGACACAGCAGAAATCGCGCGGCAAGTTAAAGAGCAGCTGATCAAGCACAATATTGGCCAACGGATATTTGGACATTATGTACTGGGGTTGTCTCAAGGCTCTGTAAGTGAAATACTGGCCAGACCCAAACCATGGAATAAATTGACTGTTCGAGGGAAGGAGCCTTTTCACAAGATGAAGCAGTTCCTGTCCGATGAACAGAACATTCTGGCCCTGCGGAGCATCCAGGGCAGGCAAAGAGGTGGGTGATGAATATAATCTTTTTTCTTCAAAATATCTTAAAGATATATTATTCCTACAGTTATATTTCAACTGACAAAATACTACTTGATGATTTTGAGCAGACTATTCTGGTACTAGCTTTGCCAAATATGATAGGAACAGGAAAGCTTTTTTTTAATGCCTCCTCATGGTTGCTCACCTGAAAGAACAGTGAATAAGTGCAGTGCCCAATTTTCTACTATAATACATATCAAGATATAGTCCTTGGTGTATTCTGGGGTTGCTGATTGCAGGGTGAATGTGAAAGTTAATCTCACCAGTCATTGGCTGAGAAGATGGAAAATAGCCACCAGAATTCCTGCTTATGATTACAGCCCTGAATTGCATAAAACCATAAGAAACAGTGCAGGAGCAGATGGTCCAAAGCTTACTCTACAATTCTGTTTGATGATCGCAGATCTTTTGTTTCACCCACCACTTTCCCTCACACTCCCCATATCCCTTGATTGATGAAACACCAGAAATCTACTGTTTCTCACTTGTAAATCTATTCTGTGATGGAGTGTCCACAACTCTGCTTATCTTGAAATTGTGGCCCTTGGCCTCGAATACCTAGCCCTGTCAAGTTTCTTCATACTTCGGAATGTTTTGATGAGATCACCTTTTATTCTTTAAAACCCCAGAGAATGCAGACCCAATTTACTCAACCCCTCATCATAGGACAACCGTTTCAACCCAGGGACCAATCTAGTGAATCCTACCTCTACAGCAAGTTACTAAAAATTGAACTAAAGTTGTCTAAAGTCACAAAAGATGTCTTACGCCTGCAGACATTTACCTAACCATGACTGTACACCTACGACAGTTAAAAACTACTCTCTGCTATACATTGAGTGGTGTATTACAGAAGTAAAAATCAAAACATGTCATGATGGACAACATGGCTGCTTACTGAGAATTCAGCAGCTGAAAGATTCAGAAACTAGATTTAACTTTGAATGTGCCACATTAAAATTCTATTAAGACTGGTAAAAGGAATTCTGTGTCTTTAAGCTGTTCTACTGATTTGCAGAGTGTTGGAATGCAGCACATCTTTCATTTCCACCCATCATCATAATTATTTTAATACATTTCCAGAATTGATGTTTTTGGGGAGGATAGTGTTGACTTTGGGCAATGGTATTTCATTTCAATACTGAAAGCATTTGAAAACCTGTACGTTGATATCCCCTAGCAGCTGTAAATTAACAGTGCTGCATAATCTACAGACTATCCACAGTCACCCTTTTATCTTTTCTAGTGGTAGGAACATATTTTTACCTTGCAATAAGTTCATAAAATAACACGGAAACCTCTTTTTCTCTAATGAAACAACTGTGCTCCCTTTACTGTAAAAGCCTGTGGCTGAAACCTCCGGGTGTGATGTTTATTTGAGGACGAAGTCATCCCGGATCTGTTAGTCCCATTGCCACTAAATGTAACTATATTCTCAGTATGATGTAGTTTCAGATCTTGCAATTCTCTTACAAATTAAGTTGGTCTCAATGCCTGGTAACAGAAATAAAAGTGTGGAACCAGGGTGTAAACCTTTCATTTGAAAACAACTACACGAAACCGAGAAAATAGATTTTCTGTACCCCAGCTTATGTATCTGAGTAATTGGGCCATGAAATCCCAGTCTCAACCACGAATGTATTGAATTAATTGGTTTCAAGCAGGGTTTTGATTATTCCTGGTTTAAGAACAGGAATTGGTCACAGGTTCTTACTACTACTGGTATCCAGAAACCACTGCTGGAAATGTGGGAAGGATGGATGTGGGTGAAATTGTAGAGGCTTAGCTAAAATTTTTCTCTTCCCCCATTCCCCTCCTTTGTGAAATACTTAGCAAGGCTTGCTGTCACAGTCTAAAGATGAATGTCGACCATTCAGTGATTATATCTAAGGGAGGCAGATGCTAGCAAGGAAATAAAATCATAGCAACAAATGTGCCTTTTAGCCATTACTGGCTCTCTACAAGAGCAACACGGCTAGTTCCTTGCCTTTTCCTTGGAGGTCTGCAATTTTTTTTCAGATGATTATCCAATCCCCAAGCAATGACTGAACCAGCTTCTGATTCTCTCTAAGGCAGTGGACTCTAGATCCTAACTTGCTGCTTAAAAGCTTTTTCCTCCTGTCTGCTTTGGCACTTTTGCCAATCAGCATAAATTGGTGTTCTTTAGTTCTTGTTCCTTCTGCCATAGGAAACGGTTTCTTCCTACTTACTCTGTCAAGACTCTACATGAATTATTTGTCTCTATCAAATGTCTTTTCAACCTTCTTTTCTCTAAGGAGATCAGTCACAATTACTCTGATCTATCTACGTAACCGAAGTCCCTCATAGTTTGAACTAGCTTCAGTTTTTTTCTGCACTCTCTGAAATGCCTTAATGTTCTTTCAGAAGTGGGGTGCAGAGAATTGGACACAATATTCTAATTTCAGGTTGAACCAGTGTTTATAAAGGTTTGTCATTACTTTGTTGTTTTTATAGTCAATTTCACTGTTAATAAAGCCCAGGTACGTCTTATTAATCACCTCTTTGCCTGTCGCCACTCTTCAAATTTGTGGTGATATATGCGATTCTTCTCCTCCTGCAGTCCATCTCGAATTTTATTGTTAGTTTGTATTATCTTCCCTTGTTGTTCCTACCAAAATGAATCATTTCACATCTCTCTGCATTAAATGTTACCTGCCACTTATCCACCCATACCATAAGCTTGTCTATGCCCTCTTGATCAATATCTATTGCTGTCTTGTTCACAGTTCACAGTACTTCCATGTCCTCTGTACACCAAAGTCTGGATCATTAATCTAATTCAAGGAAAACTGTGACTCTTGTACTGACCCTCGGGGAAATTCACTGGAAGCCTTGCTAAAGTGTTTGAAAACTAATTTCTGTTTCCTGTGACTTAGTCAACTTGGTTGTGCAATCCATGCAGCCACTGCCCCTCTTCACACAGACATCAACTTAGCTGACAATCCTGTTAAGTGACCCTTCATCAAGCATCTTTTGGATGTCCTGTACACCACCTTAACTGCATTATCCTCGTCCTCCATCTTTATCACCTCATCAAAGAGCTGAACCAAGTCAGTTTAAAAAAATCTGCCCAAAGCAAATCCATACAGGCTTTACTTGCTCAAGTGATTGGTAACTTTCTTCCAGATTATCATTTCTGACAGTTTTCTCACAACATAAATTGCTGGTCTTGCCTTTTCATCCTTTTTTAAATAATAAACACAGAAATTCAACAGGTCCAGAGCATCTGTGGAAAGAGAAACCGAGTTCAAGAATTTAGTTGAATTTGATTAATTTTACTTTGGATTTCCAGCAGCTGCAGTATTTTGGTTTTATGTAACATTTGCAGTTTCTCAATCCTGTGGGATGACTCCTGCATCTGAGGAGGTTTGGCAGATCATGATCAGTGTCTTCGGATTAGGTTACCTCTTAATGTTTGATATTTAATGGATAGCAAATCTAGTCTCTGCAGCCTGTTCTCATAATTTAATCATTTAAGTTTTACTATAATTTTGGTGAATCTGCACTATGCTCCTTCAAAGGCAAAATCATACTTAGTGAGAAACAGTGCCTAGAATAGATCACAACATTTGTCTGAACAGAACTTGCCAATTCATTGCCTGCTTAATGAACAATG